CAAAGAACTAATACAGCCAATGTTGAATACTGCTGCAGGTGAACCTGTTCACTGCTGCTGCAGTCCCTCAGTCATTGACCAAACGGTGGACAACACTATGGAGTCTTTAAAATCTGCATTAAATGCAGCAGCTCCTTTAAAACAGAAAACTATTAGGATTAGATCATCGTCGCCCTGGTACAGTGTTCAACTCCACACTTTAAAACAGGACGTCAGAAAATTGGAGATGCTAAATCGCCACTCCCACTCGGAGCCTGTCCACAGGGAGTGGAAAGCAGGTCTCCGAAACTACAAGAATGCCCTTCGCAGGGCTCGAACTCAATACTCTTCAACTTTAACAGAAGCCAATAAAAATAACAGTAGATTTTTGTTTAGCACCGTTGCTAAACTCACAAACTGCCATAGCGCAATCAAGCCTAAAATTCCAAGTTCACTGAGCAGTGTTAACTTTCTCCATTTCTTTAATAATAAAATTACATCCATTCGTGACAAACTGGAGGTTACTCCTCCTGTTGGTAGTGGACAGGCTGAAGCGGCATACTTGACTTCCCACTTAGACTCTTCAATGGGCCTCGATAAATTCATGGCTGTGAGCCAAGCAGAGGTGATCTCTGTGGTCACATCCTCAAAAGCCTCAACTTGCATGTTAGACGCAATCCCAACTTGGCTCTTCAAAGACATACTTCCTTTGATAATTGAGCCTATCGTAAATATAATAATATAATAAAAGCATCCATACAATGTGGCTATGTCCCACAAGCTTTTAAAACCGCGGTAATCAAACCCCTTCTGAAGAAAACAAACCTGGACCCAGAAATACTTACAAACTACAGACCGATCTCGAACCTCGCGTTCATATCTAAAATCCTGGAAAAACGTATGGCTGAGCAGCTTTGCTGCCACCTGCAGGAAAATAATATGTTTGAAGTCTTTCAATCAGGATTCAGAGCTCATCATAGCAATGAAACGGGACTAGTCAAGGTCACAAATGACTTACTACTAGCTGCTGATAATGGACAAGTGTCAGTGCTGGTCCTACTGGACCTTAGTGCTGCATTTGACACAATAGACCACAGCATTCTACTGCAGAGGCTAGAATGTGATATAGGTCTTAGAGGAACAGACCTTGGCTAGTTGATATCCTATTTATCAGATCGGTATCACTTCGCCAACGTAAATCAGAACTTGTCGCCTTATTCTGGAGTGGTATTCGGTGTGCCGCAGGGTTCGGTACTGGACCGATTCTTTTCACTCTCTACATGCTGCCTTTAGGAAACATTATTAAAAAGCATGGAATTAATTTCCACTGCTATACAGATGACACACAGCTTTATCTGTCGATGAAGCCAAATCAGACAGATCAGCTGGAAAATAGTAGTGCCTGCATAAAGGACCTTAAAACGTGAATGACTGTTAACTTCCTACTTCTCAACCCGGGGAAGACAGAAGTGATCCTACTCGGTCTGAAGCGCCTGCGTGACTCCCTTACTAACCAGATAATCACTCTTGATAATGTCAGTATTATACACAGTAACACTGTGAGGAATCTTGGAGTATTTTTTAACCAAGAACTCTCCTTCAAGGCTTATATAAGCCAAGCAACTAAAACGGCATACTTCCACTCACGGAACATTGCTAAAACCAGGAATTTCCTTCCTAAAAGTGACGCGGAAAAAAGTATTCACGCTTTTGTCACCTCAAGGCTCGACTACTGTAACGCTTTATTGGTAGCATGCCCTAAAAACTTTTTGAAGAGCTTCCAGCTCGTTCAGAATATAGCAGCAAGGATCTTAACAGGTACCAAAAGGAGGGAGCACATAACTCCGGTGTTAAAATCACTCCACTGGCTCCCTGTGGAGTACAGAATAAAGTTTAAAATCCTTCTCTTAACATATAAAGCCATAAATGGCTTGGCTCCTTCTTATCTCCAAGACACGTTAGTGTCGTATCAACCAAGTCGAGCGTTGCGCTCACAAAACGGCAGACGTCTGGTGGTTCCTAAGGTCTCAAAAATCACTGTTGGCGGCAGAGCATTTAGCTACCAAGCTCCTTTACTGTGGAATCAGCTTCCCATCTATGTTAAGGAAGCAGATACGGTCTCCACATTCAAGGCCAGGCTTAAAGCACTTTACTTTAATTTAGCATATAATTAGGTAATATATAATATATGGTGTATATATTATATATATATGCTGTATTATGTTAGATATCATGTTATATATTATACAATATATGTATTATGTTTTGTATTGTATTATGTTGCATATTATGTTATATATTATGCTGTATGTTATGTTATGTATTATATATAATATATATGATATGTACAGTGCCTTTGCGAAAGTATTCGGCACCCTTGAACCTTTCAACATTTTGCCACATTTCAGGCTTCAAACATAAAGATATATATTAAAAAAAATTGTCAAGAATCAACAACAAGTGGGACACAATCGTGAAGTGGAACAACATTTATTGGATAATTTAAAAAATGTTAACAAATAAAAAACTGAAAAGTGGGGCGTGCAATATTATTCAGCTCCCTTGCACTAATACTTCATAGCGCCACCGTTTGCTGCAATTACAGCTGCAAGTCGCTTGGGGTATGTCTCTATCAGTTTTGCACATCGAGAGACTGGAATTCTTGCCCATTCTTCCTTGCAAAAAAGCTCGAGCTCAGTGAGGTTGGATGGAGAGCGTTTGTGAACAGCAGTCTTCAGCTCTTTCCACAGATTCTCGATTGGATTCAGGTCTGGACTTTGACTTGGCCATTCTAACACCTGGATACGTCTATTTGTGAACCATTCCATTGTAGATTTGGCTTTATGTTTTGGATCATTGTCCTGTTGGAAGATAAATCTCCGTCCCAGTCTCAGGTCTTTTGCAGACTCCAACAGGTTTTCTTCCAGAATGGTCCTGTATTTGGCTCCATCCATCTTCTCATCAATTTTAGCCATCTTCCCTGTCCCTGCTGAAGAAAAGCAGGCCCAAACCATGATGCTGCCACCACCATGTTTGACAGTGGGGATGGTGTGTTCAGGGTGATGAGCTGTGTTGCTTTTACGCCAAACCTATCGTTTTGCATTGTGGCCAAAAAGTTTGATTTTGGTTTCATCTGACCAGAGCACCTTCTTCCACATGTTTGGTGTGTCTCCCAGGTGGCTTGTGGCAAACTTTAAACAAGACTTTTTATGGATATCTTTGAGAAATGGCTTTCTTCTTGCCACTCTTCCATAAAGGCCAGATTTGTGCAGTGCACGACTGATTGTTGTCCTATGGACAGACTCTCCCACCTCAGCTGTAGTTATCTGCAGTTTATCCAGAGTGATCATGGGCTTCTTGGCTGCATCTCTGATCAGTCTTCTCCTTGTTTGAGATGAAAGTTTGGAGGGACGGCCGGGTCTTGGTAGATTTGCAGTGGTCTGATACTCCTTCCATTTCAATATAATTGCTTGCACAGTGCTCCTTGAGATGTTTAAAGCTTGGGAAATCTTTTTGTATCCAAATCCAGCTTTAAACTTCTGCACAACAGTATCTCGGACCTGCCTGGTGTGTTCTGTGTAGAATTTAAAACATGTTTAAAATCATGAGCAGTTATCTTGTAGGACTTCTTCAAAGTTGTCGATTCGCCAACAACGGTCAGGCATCAAACGGCCACACAACTAACAACAAACACTCCACGACCAATGCCATGAAGAATTCTAAATGCCGATAATATAAATGTCCGGCTTCTATCTTCATCACGACTATCCTTCGACCCAAGTCCTGCAAGAAAGCACTCAAAAACCCAGTGGGAAAAAAGTGAGTAGCCTCAGACGGAAGAGCTGTAGATCCAAGACTGAGGCTTGTAGATCCAAGACTGAGGCTGTAGATCCAAGTATGAGGCTGTAGATCCAGGACTGTCAGGGCTGTTAGATCCAAAACTCGCGGGTGTAGTTCCCGGAATGAGGCTGTAGACCCGGATGAGGCTGTTGATCAGGACTGAGGGCTGTTAGATCCAGGACTGGGCTGTATGGCCTGGACTCATGAGGCAGTAGATCCTAAGATGAGGCTGTAGATCCAAGACTGAGGGCTCCTGTAGATCAGTACTGAGGCTGTAGGAGCCAGGACTGAGGCTGTATGGCCAGGACCGGGCACCTGAGGCTGTAGATCTGGATGCGGCTGTAGATCCCAAGACTGAGGCTGTAGATCAGGACCTGAGGCTTTGTAGATCCAAGGGACTGAGGGTGTAGATCCAAGACTGAGGTGTAGATCAGGACTGAGGCTTAGATCCAAGACCTGAGGCTGTAGATCCAGGGGACTGAGGCTGTGATCCAGGATGTCCAGTGCCTTGCCCCATCTTTTTTAATAAACCTAGATGTGTCTGACCTTTTGCCTGTACATTGGTAAAGCTCCGAAGATCATTTTAGATAATATTTTTGACACCAGTGTAGACCCAATAGTTAGATTCCGAGGGGCAGATACAAACTCTATCTGTATTAATCTTTCTACTCTCCTGTCGTGCACGCTTGCAACCACTCGATCTTCTACTTGTTTCAAATAATTACTCCTCAATCATCAGTATTTTTAAACCACACACATTTTAACCATATTTCATTTCTCTTTTCTGGAACACGTTTAAGAATAAGGGTATTGAATCATGTCGTCACGGTTGCATCCAGGGGCTTCTCGCTTTCATCTAACGCCCAACATTTCGCCGACCAGCTCTTTGACTTTTCCCTTCTCTCTCCTTTTGTGTTTTGTCCTTTTTCCTGATAGGTGCCAATTATACCGCCTGTTCGCCTGAGCGTCCCTAGCCACGCCGGGACCTGTTAGCCGGCTTTAAAGTCAGACTCCAGGCTGAAGCTCCAGAGAGGAAGAGCCAGGTGGGAGGGAGTACCTCTCCGTTTAGTCTGCCCTCAGGAACGAAAAGAGACCTACAAAACAGATAAATGTGCAAACTTTTGGACTTATTCCGACTGACAAACTCCATCCAAACGTTGGCGCGTCGCGGACTGTGTGGATTAAACCCTGAGCTTTGACATGTCACTTGTTTTTTTCCTCTGGCCGTGTTGTTTGGGAAGCCAGCCCAGATGCTCGCGGAGCAAGCTCTGGCGTGCGGGGGGGTGTGAAGGGGTCTGGCTCTCCTGGCGATGCTTTGCGCCTGGGGGGTGCGTGAACGCTCGCGGAGGTAGCCTGGAATCTGGCTGTTCGAGCTCGCGGGAGAAGGAGTGGGAGGGCCAGTCGGGTTCCCGCCCCCCAGGTCGGAGGGACCGGCCCCAGCCCCCGTGGGACGTCCTGCACAGGAACAGGCGCGCTGGGTTAACGAACTGTTTTCTTCGTGTTGGAGGCGTACACGGGGAACGAGCGCTCTCTACGTCTGGGCAGGTGAGGCATATGTTTTATATGATGTTATGTTTGGATCTGGAACGCTGGGTTTTTGCTTGATGCACAATTTTCTCTTACCTATTATATTTTTGTCTCTCTATCCATATGTCTCTTTGTCTATATCTGTTCTGTTTATGAATTGAGGTAGAAAATGATCAAAAAATAAGTTAAGTGGTTTTTGGAAGCGGAGTGTATAAAAAGACAATGCGTTTCTAAAAGTGACTCAAGTTCATCCAGTATATTAGAATACGTTGCATCGTTGTGTATTTTGACCATACACACAAGGTTCTGAGATAATTTTGATTTTAACTTTTAAGAAGCAAGAGAGTATAGAATGTGTGCATAATTTAGGAATCCTACCGTGATATTTTAGGGTTGACATTTGTCTTTCGTCTGAATGTATGCACTGAATATGACTATTTGGTTGTGGTAACTTCTTGACTATTGTGTTGACAAGTACTGATTGTGAATGTCGGATTGAAAGAGATTATTTATTGTAGTTTCAGTTAATGCATTTATTGAAATTGTCTGAAATATAAAAAAAAATGTTACACATCTAAGATCATTCAAGAGACATAATAAAATGGGTAAGAAACTGGGTATTCAATAATTGCATAATTTCTTGCAATTGACCGACTTACGACAAAAATATTAACACATAAATTCCCTGCTTCTGTGGGCATAATGTCTGCTTTTGGGTTTTTTTTATACGGTATCTATATCTCGGCATCAATATCCCCATGTCATCTTCAGTATTATTGTTTTGTCACATGAGTTCAAAATTATATCCATACAGTTTCTAGATTGCTGTTTTTTGTCAAGCACGGGCACATATGGAATATAATTTTGACTAGGAAATGACTTACTAAAATTGGGTTTGAAAATAAAATGCTTGAAAAACTCTCAAACGGTCATGTCTGCTTTTGATTTTTTATACTTAGGGGACGGGTTCAATAAGAACATCTTTTCATCCCTAATCTTTTTCATGTTTCCATACCGTTTCACACAATGCCAACTTAAACTATCAACCGGGAGCTGGTTTACATGTTACAGAAAATAGGATCTCTTTTCCAGCATCTCCGGCATCTTATAGTTGGGCATCTATATTGGGCTCATCTATATCCTGGGCATCTATATCTGGCGCATATATTCCGGCATCAATATTCCGGATCTATATCCCGGCATCTATAATTCCGGGCATCTATATTCCGGCATCTATTTCTGGCCTCATATCTGGCATCTACTGTTATCTGGGCCATCTGTATTTCGGCCAATCTATACCTGGTATCCTATATCCTGGAATCTATATCTCGGCATCTATACCTGGCATCTGTATCTCGGCTCTGATATCTTGGCATTCATTCTTTTCCTAGTTTGGTCAAGGTCTTCAAATTATGCGTACTTAGAGTTTGCAAATTGCAGTTTTTCTCATCCTATAAAAACATTTTATCCCAAACAAGTTTGTATTAAAGTCACGCAACACAAAGTGACAATTTGATCCTGGTTCACAGCAATATAGCAAAAGGACCATTGTCAGTCTCTGCACAAGACGCCGAGCTGGGTCTCTAATGCCTTGCTCTTCAATGTCTTTTTCTCCCCTGTCTTTGATGTGGATAATTACAGTTCCTCTTGTTCATTTCCATTGATTTTTAGTTTGTGCTTGGACGAGTGGACATGGGGTCCGCGCCCCAAAAAGCTCCATAAGATTACAGTAGTAGGTGTGTGGAGCGGCGTGATGGACTGTATCACCATGTCTCATGACGCTTAATCATTTTGACATTTAACATGCCACCGGGTAACCTTGGCGTGCCGCGAGGAAAAAATTTACATATTTACGATGCTGTAAAGTTAGGCGGTGGTTGAATTTCATTTAACGGACAAGACAAGAATTGTATAATTGTTATAATAAAATCAGAGTAACCATTAGCTTTTCAATTACTTTGGCGTTTTTCTCTCAACTCCACACATGCCATTTGTAATACGGTTTTAGTGGTAGGGGAAAACCCGGAGCACAGGAGGAAACTTAACTAACCTCGCTTGGCTACTTTATATTCGGCTGCTAAACCATAAACTCGGTAATTGCACCTTATTGGCCTGTATTTTATATATGTATTTAGTCGGGTTGAGAACCTCAAGGGTACCTGTTACGGGTCGGACCAAAGAACCCAAGTGCAGAGGTTACAAAAACGTTTCCCCCAACCCCCCACCCACCCCCCCCACCCCCCCCCTCCCCCCTCACCCCACCCCCACCCCTCACTCCTACTCCCCCCCCCCCTCCCCCCCACCGCGCCCATCGCTCAAAACACAGGAGAGCCGGGGATGGGGCTGGGACCAGGCGGTGCAGGGCTGGGTTGCAGAGCTGGGGTCAGCGAGGGTGCTGGGCTGGGGGGTCAGGCGGCGTGCGGAAGGAGGTTGAGGCAGAGCAAAACAAAGGGGAGAACAAAAGAACGAGAGCGATAAACATGCAGGCCTAAACAAAGCACCGTAACAAACTGATTACGAACTGGCTCGATGAGCTGGCCTTCTGGGAGCTCTTGTCCCCCCCCCCTCCCCTTCGTTAGCTTGACTTGGAGCCAGGAGGCGAGCTGGGCACTGATCAGCCTCCTCCCATCCACCTGCCTGGGGGACGGCGGCTCAGGAGAAGCAGGGGGAGGGAGGGGCTGGCTGGAGGAGCGCCCTGACAGTCCCCCTCCCTACTGACGCCCCCAGGCGGAACACACGCCTCCACGGTCGACGAGCGTAAGAAGTCCCGTAGAGGGACGGGTCAGGGATGTTGCCACGGGAGACCTGCATCGCTCCTCGGGGGGCCGTAACCTCCAGTCCACCAGGAACTTGGCAGCCACGGACACGCTGTTGTCGACATCCACGATCCGTCCTCAACCGAACGGTAAAGGCAGGATGGCCGGTCCACTATCCGAGGCGGGGGGTGGGGACCTGGGACGAGGGGGGAACCATGGACTAGATGGACAGGCTAACACAGGGGGACACATGAAACGTGGGGTGAATCTTCAAGGAAGAGGAAGCTTGAGACGTACCGCGTGGAGGGGCCCGTTGACGACCAGTTCCACCTCAAAGTGCCCGATAACGCGGCGTGCGGCAGCTTCGCAGAGATTCACCTTGAGGGGATGTCGCTCGTGGACAGCCACACCTTCTGTCCGGCAATAGGCAGGAGACGGGATGCTGGCGGCGATTTAGCCTGTTACTTGCGTTAGGTCGAGCAGAGGGCGCCGCAGCAAGGCAGAGGGGCCTTCTTCAAAGTCTTTTTGACATTTGCGAAGTTATCCTGGTCCTGAAGGGCACTGCCAACTCAGCCTCTTGGTAGGAACCAGGGTGCGGTGTAGGCCATAACAACATTCAAAAGGGGACCTACTAAAGAAGCGCTCGGGAGTGTGTTATGGGCATATTCCACCCAGGGAAGGTGCGACTCCAGCGGGACGGATTAGAGGAGGACACACCAACGTAGGCCCACCTCCATATGCTGGTTAGCCCGCTCCGTCTGGCCATTCGTTCTGGGTTGGTGATAGCCAGAGGAAAGGCTCACGTTATTATTCAGGGCAGAACAGAAGGCCTTCCAAACCTGAGCCGTGAACTGGGGGGCCTCCTGTCAGACACCGATGTCGGCAGGAATGCCCATGCAGCCGGAGCCGTGGTTCCCAAACAGGTCTGCAGTCTCCTTAGCAGAAGGAAGTTTAGGATAGGGGAACACAAGTGAGCAGGGGGCCTTTTGGGGTTTTGGGGAAGAACCGGTCCACAACCTGTCAGCACCACGGAATTACTATTCGAAGGCGGTGAGGGCTTTGGGGTAACAAAATTCCAGCGTTGTGAGACCAAGGGCGATTGGGGATGGGAAGAGGGACGCCAGCAACCAGATGGGGGGGCTGGTGTAGGAACATTTATTCTGGGAGCACAGTGGATGCAGCAATGACAGTCCCTTAGTATCCCTCTCCATCGTGGCCACCAGAACTTGCGCGCTGAGCACAGCGAGGGTAACGTTCACCCAGGGGTGGCATGTAAGGTGGGTGCAGTGTGCCCATGGAATAACTTCTGAACGTACGGGGGGTCAGGAACAAACAAGGAACTCGGGCGGTCGTGGTCACGTCACCGGATCCGGTGTGGAGGCAGTTGCGCATGACGCACTCGTGACTCTATCTCCCATGTACGGTAGCCACGCTATACGGGCCAAGGAATAAACAAAAAGCAGAAAGTGTCATTTCAGGAGCAGGATGTGCACCCGCAATAAACTCTGGACAAGCATCTGGATTTCAAGTTCTTGGAGCCGGGCGATAAGTGACAGAGAAGTTGAAACGGTCGGAAAAAAAAAAGGGCCCCACCTGGCTTGCCTTGAGTTGAGACGCTTGGCTGTCTGGATATACGTGCGGTTTTGTGATCCGAACAGACACCAGAGGTGTGAGTTAGCCCCCTCCAGCCAGTGACGCACTCCTCTAGGGCCCGCTTGATTGCCAGGAGTCTCTGTTTTAAACGGAAATTGTCGTTAGTTTCTCTCTGCAGAGACAGTTTACGATGAGAAAACGGCACATGGGATGCAATTTTGATCAGTGGGTGCCCTTTGCGAGAGTATTAGCCCCCACTCCTGTGTCGGAGGCGTCCACCCTATACAACACTGGGTTCAGGATTGGGGCCTGAATAAGACAGGGCCAGAGTGCGAACCGGTCCCTAAGTCGCTTAAAAGCCAAGTCGCCCTAGGGTCCATGCGAAATTGGAAGAATGTAGAAGTGGAGGTAAGTGCAGTCAGGGGGCAGCAATGTGGGCTGAAATTGCGGTATGAATCCCCTATAGAAATAGCAAAACCCCAAATAACGCTTGTACCTCCCTGCGGGTAGGGGGATAGGCCAATCACGGACCAGCAGACAGCTTTTCAAGATCCATCTGCACCTGCCCCGGGCAATAATGTATCCTAAGAATGAGACAGAAGGTTCCATGGACCTGATTGTAACATTGAATCAACCTTATTTTACAGATGGAAATTTAACCATTAAAAGTGTAACATTGAATCAACCTTATTTTACAGATGGAAATTTAACCATTAAAAGTGTAACATTGAATCAACCTTATATTACAGATGGAAATTTAACTATTGAAAGTGTAACATTGAATCAACCTTATTTTACAGATGGAAATTTAACCATTAAAAGTGTAACATTGAATCACTGTTAAAAATCGGTTGTATATTTTTTTTGGTTGAAAAATTCCCAATAAATCAATGTTGTTTCGATATAAGGACTACAAGCCCGGGAGATTTTAGTTAAGTGTACAGCGCCCCTGCATCTCGGAGACGGAGACGGAGAAAGTCAGAACTGGTAAGTGCTCATCGCTTCTAAACTTAAAATCATCGTCTTGGGTGTGATCAGTGAGCTAATAAAATAGAATGTAAGGTGTTGCTTTAGGCTATGTTATGCTATTTTCTTAGTAGTTTGTCAGAAGCTGATGTGTAACCAACATTATGCCAAGCTAACGTTAAACTTTGCCACCAAAAAAGCTCAGTTTAAGGGGCTGTTTTTAGCTGCTTACAATTCCTCAGCACCCGGTTGATAAGGGAACAAGGATGGTATTAAGGTTGTGTTATGCAAATGGGTTTTATTAGGTAGTTAATAATTCGCTGCTTAGTTTAACAATAACTTTCCCCACACAATAGAGGGGGCTAAAGCACTTCGGTAAAGCCACGATCTATGATTAGCACACTGCGATTTATAAGGTTAAAGTTGAATAGCCTATAATGTAAAATAAAAAAAAATGTCATGGTAAGACACAAGGGGTAATGCCAATTAAATATTTATTTGTGAGTAAATACAGCATTTCACATACACTTCATTTGTACTAGTCATTCACTGTCAGACAGAAAAATCAAAAAGCATTAAATCCAAATCTAAAAGCTTTAATAATGATTTCCATTTCTCTTTTACAGAAGTCCCAAGTTGATATCACGAACAACAAAGCAATCAAGTAATGCAATTTTTACAGCACCATCTCAAATGCAATTAGGATGTCTTCATATTGTGTGTTCTAAAATGATCTGTTCTGTTCTTTCTTTCTTTTTTTTAAAGAAATGCACTACTGTCTGGCAATATATCAATTTGTTAGGGTCATTTATTTATTATTGAATGAATTGTGAAATAAAGGCCTTAAATGTAATTAAAACGCATTAAAATGTATTCCAACAGGCATTAATTGTACATATCTTTGAAAATAGTGATGTTATATAACTGTGTTACTGCAAATATTCATTGAAAATACAAAAAAATAAGCTCCAAAACACACTGAACTCCAGTTTTGAATGAAATTGAACACATTTTTTGGCACAAATTGCTCGTTGTGTATAATTCCGTTAAATATTGAAAATGATGCTGTGTACCAGTGTTCCTCGTGACACTAACCAAATCTGCACCACTTCTACAAACGTTTTATTGCTACACTACAATTACCTGGATAGCCTTAATTATGATGGCCCTGTAAATAAGTACTTTTATGAAACAAAGTATTATACAGTGGTTACATTGTGTTGGCAACAAATTGAGGGAATATATATTCGCATTGAGTAACCTTGTGTTTGAAATGCAGTATAAATTAACATTGACTTGCCTATAATTCATACATTCTTGACTGGATCCTGGGGAGATATGTATTTATTTATTTTACTTTTATAGTTTTACACTTAAAACCTACCCCAATATATCACCATAAGCAATGGGTTTTCTATTTATTTTTGTGGTATTTGGTCAAAACTCAATCTCCTGTCTCTTCTCCATGTCTCATGTGCTTCTGCTCCAAATGCTTTTTGTTTGTTTGTTTTTAATTTACTGTACATTCTTCATGGAGGCAGGTTATTGTTTTTTTTACTATATTTATTCATGGAAGCAAAAGTGCTGAAGTGCTGGGCTGTACGTGTTTCGTAATGCAAAAAAACAAAAAAGATGTAACTTATGCTGTAATACCTGTCTTGGGACTGCAGGAGGCACTGTCACGCTATAGGCACCAAATAACGATTTAAATGGGGCATGCGCAGTAAAATTTTGTAATGTAAATACCTTGGTAAACTTGTCATTCTGAGTGCTATATGGATGCGTAATGTAAACAAACAACAGGAGGAGATGGATTATGCCTCAGATCCATATTGGACTGGTTATGCCTGTGTAAATGACTCGACATGATGACCGCGGTGAATGTTTAGTGGTTGATTTAGGTGGTGACGCGGTAAGTAAATCCAATAATCAAAATATAGTTTAAAAAAGGTTGAATATAGGCATATTTCAATCGTTTAATCAATGTTGAATCCATGTTGAAAAAACATTTGAATTTCGACATCTATTCAACTCCTAATCAATGTTATTTGCATGACATTGATTCCATGTCAGAAAAGATCAAAAATCAACGTTGTGTTCGACATCTATCATATCGAGCGCTTTCAATCGCAGTTCAACGTCATTTTTCAACATCTATTCAATCACAGGCCATAACACTATTTAAATGTTGAAACGATGTCCTTTTGCTATCTGGGTAGGGCCAATCAGCAGAAGGGCTAATATAATACGTACAATAATGATAAAAATATTGATAAATGATAGGGGAATTACATTGTGGGTGTTACAAAAGCATTACAGCAGTCAAGGCTTGAGGTGACAAAGGCTTGCTGGGTACAATACTGACATTATCGAGAGTGATTATCTGGCCAGCAATGGAGTCCCGCGGGCGCTTTGACCGAGTAGGATCACTTCTGTTTTCTCCGGGTCAAGCAGTGGAAAGTTAAAGGCACACCGTGTAACTCTTGGCCACTAGGGGCGCTAGACCTGCAACTTTCACGTTTAGCGCCCCTAGTGGCCACAAGCAACTCAGCACTGTCGCAAAAGTCAACAAACAGTCAGCCGGTGTCTTTTGAGTGTGTATTCAGACAGCATGCACTGGTGTGTGTGTTCAAACTGTAGAGACATGCCTACAGATATTGAGAGACTCTGCTGTGGTCAGCCTCCAGACCGCTGCATTAGTAATCTACCACACATGGACTTCTATATCCTGGATGAGGGAGTTCTGCGTCTAGCTCGTGCTGCGTGGAATGACATCTTTGCAGTCGATGACATCCAGGAACCAGGTGAAGAGCAGCGCTCATACAGACATGCAGCTTACAGCACGATCCCTTTCGCGTTTCCTCTTTTTAGCCTCCTCCGAAGGTTTAAAATTTTTCCTTGCCTCAGCCATGACCAGGAGTCGAGCAGGTGAAAAATGAGTAGCAAAAGCCTTAGCTCCATGAGTATATCAGCGCCTGTAGCCGTAAAGCAAGTCTTTCTTCCAAGTCACGTGACCTGGTGGCAGACGGTCCGTCTGCTCGAAACTTACATGGGCGGTATTTCAAGAGGGCAGCCCCGCTCGGAGCATTGCAAGTGTCAAGCGCTGTATATTGGCCCAAGTATTCATATAAAATAACTCATATGTGTCAACTCTTTAGGTCACAAAGTCCGCGGTGTGCCTTTAAGAGTCATCCACGTTTTAAGGTCCTTTATGCAGGCACTAAGCCTTTTCAACTGATCTGTCTGATTTGGTTTCATCGACAGATAAAGCTTGATCCTTGGGGCACACCAAATTCCTCTGTAGAGTAGGGTGACGAGTTTTGATTAACATTGACAAAGTGATACCAACCGATAAAAAGGATTTAAACCAGCCAAGGAATGTTCCTCTGAGACCAATATCACATTCTAGCCTCTGCAGTAGAATGCTGTGGTCAATTGTGTCAAATGCAGCACTAAGGTCCAGCAGCTAGTAGTAAGTCATTTGAGACTAGAGCCGTTTCAGTGCTATGATGAGCTCTGAATCCTGATTGAAAGACTTCAAACATATTATTTTCCTGCAGGTGGCAGCAAAGCTGTTCAGCTATAAGCTTTTCCAGGATTTTAGATTTGAAAGTAAGGTTCGAGATCGGTTTGTAGTTTGTAAGTATTTCCGGGTCCAGGTTTGTTTTCTTCAGAAGGGGTTTGATTACCGCGGTTTTAAAAGCTTGTGGGACAAAGCCACATTGTATGGATGCGTTTATTATATTTAAGATAGGCTCTATTATCAAGGGAAGTGTGTCTTTAAAGAGCCACGCCGGGATTGCATCTAAAATGTAAGTTGAGGCTTTAGAAGA